AAGGAAGGAAGGAAGGAAGGAAGGAAGGAAGGAAGGAAGGAAGGAAGATTATAATGAGAGGGAGGGAGAGTCTGAGGAAAGTCCTGCCTTAGCACTTGGCCACCACAGGTGCCCCTGACGCAAGTGACGTTGGTCTGGCCATGCCCCCAGCCATGCCCCCTGCCCAGTGGTGGGATTCAAAATTTTTTACTACTGGTTCTGTGGGCGTGACTTGGTGGGCATGGTGTGGCTTGGTGGGCATGGCTTGGTGGGCATGGCAAGGGAAGGATACTGCACAATCCCCATTCCCTCCCCAACCCACTAACCTACTTTCCTGCTCAAATTTTCCTGTGCAAGGCAACCAGTGAAGACACAGCCGATCAGCTGGGACTAGGGAGGTGGAGAATAGATGGGGGCGGGGCCAGTCAGAGGTGGGATTTGCCGGTTCTCCGAACTACTCAAAATTTCCACTCCCAGTTCTTCAGAACTGATCTGAACCTGCTGAATCCCACCTCTGATGCTGTCACTACATTAGTCCCAATTTCACTTCCTGTGCAGGAGAGAACTTAGCATATGTTCCATGGTTTCAGAACAGCCATCACTTTCCAAAACTCTCCTAGGCTTTATGTCTGTTTCCCATGTAAAACACTGTGTCTCCATGCTTAGTTCCTTGTCTGTCCTAGGTGTTGGGTTCTAAGACTCTCTCTGTTGTTGGGCTGACACACACACACACACACACACACACACACACACACGAGTGTGGTTTAGAGCAGTGGTTGCCAACTGGTGGGCTGGGGACCACTGGTGGTCCATGAGAACATTTTGGTGGTCTGCAGAGAAATGTCTCCCCCAAAGCAATTAATCCAGGCTGTGAAGGAACACAAGGCTGCACCACCCACATGGTGCACCTACCGGCTGGCTCCCACCCTTCAGCCAAGCGCAAACCTTACCTTGAGTAGAGCCACATGAGCTGGAACTAGAAGGTAAGACCAACGGCAGGGGAGGGAAATCCGTCCCGGGGTGGATTGCTGACATTGTTGGGATAGTCGGTGCCATATTCCAGAGCTGCAGTAGTCACAGGACTGGCCCTTTGGTCATCCCGGAGCAGCTCCTCCAGTCCACGGCAGTCCAGCGCACCCAGGTGGACGAGCAGTTGCTCCAGGATGACCAAAGGGCCAGTCCTGTGATTACTGCAGCTCTGGAATAGGGGACCAACTTTCCCACCAACATCAGCAAGCCACCATCAGTCAAAATGCATATTAGTGGTACACGGGATTTAAAATTATGAGTTTGGTGGTCCCTGAGGTCCAAAAGGCTGGCGACCCCTGGTTTAGAGTTTATTAATATTCCCCAGCAATTCCCTTCACCCAGCCTCAGAACTGTCCCAAATGAATCCATCCACAAGCAGGCCAAGATCAGCCCACAAGGCAATGGCTAATAGTCCACAAAACAATGGAAAGTCACTCCAAAAAATAAGTCTGCCAAACAAACTAAAATCCTCCAGGCCAAACTGAAATACACCCACCAGAGCTCATTTGGCAAGAGAAGTTCAGAGTCTCTACAAGGCCCAAAGTCAAGCAGGAAGCATGAGGAACAAACACACACAGCCAGAAACCAAAGAGGTTGTTCCCAGCAATGCCTCCCTCTGCCTGCCGCGGCAAATAGCTTTCTGATGCAGCCCATCAAGATGGGTGGGGCCTTCTCCTGAGCTTTCTGGCAGAACTCCATTGCTCTTGTCTTTTCTTTGCCTTGCATGCTCTCAGATCCACCATGGAAGACAACTCTTCACTGACCGTCAGACCCTGCAAACTGTCCCCAGCTGAAGTTTCCCGTAAATCTCTTTCAGCTGGCTGTTCAGAGTCATTAATTAACCCAGTTCCTGATGTGCCAAGAATGAGGTCATCCCCTCTTGAGTACTGAGGAAGAATCTGAGGATTTGCCCAAGGGAGACATCGCCCTTGTCCCTAAAATATCTTGGACATTGCTAATCACTACATGGTTTGTGAAGAACTGTCGCCTTTTCCATCTCAGCCTTAGTCATTGTTTCTTGTATCAATAGATGTCCTTCAACAAAAGCATCTCAATGGACCATTTTCCATTTAGGTGAAGAGATAAAACCAACATCTCATCTGCTTTGAACTGATTGGATGTTATTCAGGTAGTCTCAGTGGTCAGTGAGCTGTTTCTCACCAGTGTTTTGTGTTTGTACAGCTTTACAATCTCACTATGGCTTTATTTACTGCACTTCTGTGAGAGAGCGTTGTGTGGCATCCTGTATTTCATCGATTCAGGAGAAATGTACGGCACCCCTGCTATATTTCTAACCAATGAAGGTAAGAGGAAGAAAATTCCAGGTGGACTGAATTAACACTGCCTGAAGATACAAAGCAAATTTAATTTGATTTTTTTACCCCTCTCCCCTAAAACCCTTTTTAAGAAAGTCAGTCTGGTAGAAGGAACGTGACTCTGGATTTGATCTAGATGGGTACTTATAACCATTGCAAAAGATGATTCTGATTCTTTTACAATTGGCACTTCTGTGCTTTTAAGATGAATACAAAAAGTTTAGTGCACAAGGTAGGGTTTTTCTAAAAAGTTTGGTTGACAGTGTCAATCAGTGGTTCTTATTTTGGGACACACAGACCCCATGTGGGCCTATGGATAGTTTTCAGAGGGTCCATTAAATTGGATGAGAAAAATAATATTTTTCTAAAATATTTTATCAGGTACTGATAAAATCAGGACCACACATTAGGTTCCAAGTTAAGCAGCTCAGGCCTATATAATAAGAATCTAGTCAACTAACGAGTCAGCACAGAAACCAAAGCTTTGACTACTTCTGGGAATGTAATGACTCCAGGCTTATTCCCAGTGGTGGGATTCAAAATTTTTACTGCCGGTTCTGTGGGCATGGCCTGGTGGGTGTGACTTGGCTTGGTGGGGTGTGTCTTGGTGGGTATGGCAGGAGAAGGATACTGCAAAATCCCCATTCCCTCCCCACCCCACCGATCTGCTTTCCAGCTCCATTCTCCTGTGCAGAGCAACCAAAGAAGACCCGGCCCATCAGCTGAGACTCAATGGGAGGCAGAGAAGAGATGGGGGCGGGGCCATTCAGAGGTGGGATTTTCCAGTTCTCCGAACTACTCAAAATTTCTACTTCCGGTTCTCCAGAACCGGTCCAAATGGGCTGAATCCCACCTCCACTTATTCCTCTCTTGACTCTGCCCCCAGGCTCTGCCTGTCCTTCCCCAACCTATTTAAAACACACACACACATATATATATGTGTGTGTGTGTGTGTTTTCTTAAGTTTTTGC